GTCACACACATTATTAGTTTCAGGTTTATCAATACTGTCAGAGAGCTGTCACACACATTATTAGTTTCAGGTTTATCAATACTGTCGGAAGCTGTCACAGACATTAGTAGCTATCAGGTTTATCAATATTGTCAGAGAACTGTCACATACATTAGTAGTTTCAGGTTTATCAATACTGTCAGAGAGCTGTCACAGACATTAGTAGTTTCAGGTTTATCAATACTGTCGGAAAGCTGTCACAGACGTTAGCAGCTATTAGGTTTATCAATAATGTCAGAGAACTGTCACAGACATTAGTAGTTTTCAGGTTTATCAATATTGTCAGAGAGCTGTCACAGACATTAGCAGCTATCAGGTTTATCAATACTGTCAGAAAGCTGTCACAGACGTTAGCAGCTATCAGGTTTATCAATATTGTCAGAGAGCTGTCACAGACATTAGCAGCTATCAGGTTTATCAATACTGTCAGGGAGCTGTCACAGACGTTAGCAGCTGTCAGGTTTATCATTATCGTAAACCTTATAAAGTTACCCTAGAATATTACTTTATGAAATCATTTACTTGTTGCTACTCGAGAAATCTGGTTTTCTCCACTTGCTAGTACTTTGCATGTGAATAATTCACTTTAAGGCGAGAAATTAACGTGAATTCTGGTGTCACCATGTAAATAACAACAGTAACGCAGCTTATTTTTCACAGTATTGCCTTATAGTTTGTAGTATAAAGAGCTTATATATTCCTAAAATATCGCCTTTTCTTAATTTTTCCTTATTTTGTCATTTAAAAGGTGTATTGTATTGTGAGAAAATGGGTACAGACCAAGTTCAACATAATGTTCAATAGATGGAGTTAACGTCACCTTTATAACTTGTGTTTTGTTTTTACAACTTGGAAATCTAGAAAGATACATGCTAGATTGTTTGAAATTACTCTCACGAGGTGAGCACCCACAATTGAATTTTTAAAAAATGGACGTTGACTCATCTATTAACTTAGTAGTTGATGTAAAATGAATTTTAGTACTTTTACGTTATACCCCTCGCAAATGGTAAGTTTTTACTATATGAATATAATGCTTATTAATATAGTTTTTAGAAATTTATTATGGACATTTACTAAATGAATAAAGTACATATTTATATATTTTCAGATATTTGTATAAATTGATATATATATATATATATTTTTTTTTAAACTTATTAAAATTGCGGGGGCATAACGTAAAAGTACCGACTTTTATGATAAGCGTATTACATGTACTCGTTGAATTAATATATGCATGTATGAATACTCGCCAATATTTTTAAGCAATTCAATACATCCGTATCATTTCTTAATACCAATGCACTTATCCTGATTTTAATACATATAAAAATTATGTAGGTTATATAGGTATGTTATAAATAAATCATATTTCCTAAAGATCATCTTCTAGTAACCGATTTTTTGTATAATATTATTTCCTTACTTCTCTGTTTCTTCCCACATCTGCACGACTTAGTTTTAGACGTCGTGTCTTTGAGCATCATATTCGCTCGTTTTTGTTTTTATTTTTTAGCTACATTTTTTTATTTGTAATTATATTTCTAGCATGGGACTTGCAATTAGATGTTAAGTCCCATAAACGGTGTGATTCCACCACTGTGTGGGTCGTATATATATATTCACGCTTACACAGAAATATCTTTCTTAGTAGAGCACATTGTACTTGTCCCACATTGCAGCACTGTACACCCTAGTTTTAACTGTCTGTCCTTTATGCGCGATGCATTTTGTTTTATGTATTTAACTGGCATTATTTTATGCGATTACATTTTAATAAATAAGTAACTTACCATCTGTAGAAAGTCTTCCAACAAAGCCTAACTGAGAGGTTTATGTTGCTTCCTTATCTAACTGCCCAATTCTGTAATAATGTGCAAATATCGATATCAAGCTGTGTACCGATTACTTTCAATATAATATTTGACTTACCTAAGCATAGTGGCGGGTCATCTGTCCACTGGACATTATTTTGGTCACCTTCGCAAACAAGAGGCGATCTCCCGACGAGTTCGTATCCTTGCATGCATATAAAGCTGCAAACACTACCCCAAGCGGTGCCATTTGTACACTTCATTAATCCGTGTTCTGGGATGTCGATGTTTGGACATTTTTGAACTAAATTAATCATCAAAAACAAAAAATAATTAGGCAGAGACGTCAATTAGGTAAGGCAAGGAGAGGAGAGCTAATGCGTAGTTTGCCTTTTCTGGATGATAATTAAATAACATAATAAATGGTCAGGTCAAATGCTCCCAAAATAGACTGATTGTTACATTTTAACTTTAAAATACCCCAAGATCACCCAGGGGACTAGCTTCCCTTGATTTCCCAAAAAAGTTACTCCCCCCCCACACACACTGTAATATAAAATGATGCACGTGCAATTAGCCTTAACTCAGACACGTTTTGATCTTATATTTATAAAGCTTCATATACATTTAATCTGATAGCAGAGGCGATCCTCAGGGATTTTCGTCATGTTGCTTTCGTACATCACTAACTAATTACTATTGGTATTGTAATTAAATTTAATAACCATAAACAGAGGGTATTACAATTTCTTTATTTACACACAACTTTTACCAAAAGCCTTTTTCCTTCCACCTCTTTTGGTTGATCGTAATCTTAAGGCAAAAATAAACTATCTAATAAGCTCTGGTATTTTTCAACCTTTTTGCAACTACAAAATTTCTTGTGCGGTCGTTTCACATAAAGTTAGTATTATGTAAAACATAATCACTTAGCATAGATAAGAAAGTGTTTTTAGGACGGCGAAAAGGTATATGTCGCTCTTAACATAAAACATTTGAATTAAATATAAGTAGCATTACAGTCTATTAATTAACTGTGGGATTAAGACAACATAGTTATCACTTTTACTTCGAAGCATAGGAAATAAATATAGAACAACATTATTGTTGCCCATAAGTAATTGAATTAGTTGTAAGGCAATATTGTTACCTCTCCTTGTGGTTGAAATAAATGAAAGATACTCTTACTGTTGCTCCTAATTGAATGTGATTGAAATAAATGAAGAATACTGTTACTGTTGCTCCTAACAATAATATAATTTACTTAACTGTATAGCAACACCATTGTTGCCCCAAGTAACAATCAACTAAGTTAAATATAGAGCAACAATAGTGGCGTTCCGAGCAAAAATCAATTGAACTTACTGTAGATAATTGCTACTTTCTCTCCTAATAGAAAATAACTGGATTATCATTCCAGAGAAACAGTTAACTTCAAAGTGCATGGTATTATATAAAGATTAACTGGAACTGCAGGTTCAACTGAATAAACAAAACGTACATGTAACTTTTCTTTTAACAGTACTGTTTATGCAATTAAACAGTAAGTTTAGTTTAACAGTAAACAAAGTGGGGGTAGGCAATAAGTAAGTTAGTAAGTTAGTCTTTCAATAACAGCGGTTAGTCTCCAGCGAAGCGTTGTGTATTAATCTACTTTGTTTTTTGGCCATTGAATAAAGATTACTTTTCATTTTAATTACATTATATTCAGTCTCTTTCTTGCTCCGAACTCAGTCAGAGTTAGAGAAAATTAGTGTCTCTCTCTCATACATTTCCTGACGTTCCTCAAGTTATTTGCGGTTACTACTGAATCTGGGAAAACAGCATGTCTGGATGTACTACTCACGCCAATGTTTTTGAAAGTCTTAAAATCAACTGCGTTTTTATTTCTACTAGTTCCAATTACTATTCTCTGACAAAAACAGCACATTTTCCAGAATCAATAGAGACGCATGTTTATTGAGTTGCTTCTGTACCATTTGTTTCGAACAAATGTTTTGCTACTGATGAACAGCAAAGATGTATTTTGCTACTATAGGCAAAATATAAAAATTTGCTGTGGGTTTGTTGGGTTAAAGCTAACTAAATGACTCTAAACTAAAACTAAGGTGTACTATTTTACACATTACACTGTGAACATTTATTATTATGTATAAAACAAAGTAATTTATTTTAACATTTAAGTCCGAAATTTGTATAAGTAAACAATTTAAAATGCTGAGCGCAACACTAACGCAAAAAACAAACAAACTTAAAAACAGAAACATTTATACAATTTTAATTTAAAATCTACTTTTTCGGACTTCAATGAAACGAAATTTCAAAAAGGCTCTTTCAAATCCAATGATTCAGCAACGATATGGTGAAAGAACTAACTAACCATCTAGGATGTCAGATAAGCTCTGATTAATTTGAGTTTTGAGAAGCCCCAGTGTTTCAACGCCTGTAAATTTAGGTTGTTGGTCTTCAAAAGTAATTAAAAAGTTCGTGCAGTAATCACTGTGTTGTTTTAATTGAATAAACGCTTCAAGAATTGTATAAAATTGTTGTTGAACCGTTGCAGTAAGTTTTGAGGGGGTTCATTCATTCCCTCACTTCGAAACATAGATTTATTTGGTTTCGGAAACCAGGTTGGAAACCTGCATCAGTCTTCGTATCTTTGACAAGTACTTTTGGATCTGCTTGATGCGCCCTTATTACACAGAGCGTTTTAAAGGAAGATCTATCTATTTTAGAAAATAAGTCTAAGTAGGGGGGCCTATAGTGTTTTACTCAGAATGTTCTTATAAAAAAGAACATCATTCCAAATCACAAGACAACACTGAAACTTGAAGCATTAGAACTTAGCTACGAAGTTCTTGGCTTTAACTCTTGCTGTATTGCTCATGCTAATAAAGCATTGGTAAGAATAAGAGTTACAGCTTCAAGTCTACTCTGTCTTCAAGTGTTGTTGGATTGGAAAGTGACTTGTCAGTTAGAGTAATCCATTCCCTACGTGGGTAGACCGTGAAAAGAAGATACAAATTCACTTTGAATCACATACACACACAAAAAAATATAGCTTAAAAACAGGACATTCCAGTGTCATTAATAAGAAGAATTATTGAACGAGCATAACATGGCACGAAGAACGTCCTGAATCTAACACCGGAATTAAATTCAACCATCCTAGACTTTCATATTTATTCTGTTCTTGTAGCCTTGCCAACTTCTTAAGTTCTAACTCATGAAGTTTCTTCAGTAGTAGCTCTGTCATATCAGTTCATGAAGTATCTTCAGTAGTAGCTCTGTCATATCAGTTAATGAAGTTTCTTCAGTAGTAGCTCTGTCATATCAGTTCAGGAAGTATCTTCAGTAGTAGCTCTGTCATATCAGTTCATGAAGTATCTTCAGTAGTAGCTCTGTCATATCAGTTCATGAAGTATCTTCAGTAAGTAGCTCTGTCATATCAGTATATTGTTTTTAATGAATTTCTGTAATTTCCACTGTATCAAAATTTGCTTTTACTTATCGAAGTTTGTTACGGAATTTCGCGTAAAGCTACACAAGGGCTATCTGGACTAACCGTCCTTAATATTGGACTGATAGACTAGAGAGAAGACAGCTAGTCAACAGCACCCACTGTCAACTCTTTGGCTACTCTAATCGAATAATGGAATTTGTTCGTCGCTTTTAAAATACACTCATAGAGCGAAGTACAATTTTGTAGCAATCAGAATCGAACCATGGACCCTCGTATTCATAGTCCAACAACGCTAACCACTAGGATACAATTTTTTAAATCTTAGGCATATACTTCTAGCTGTTTCCATTTCTAGAAGCTTCCTTATGTTTGCTTAATACTTGCTGTATGTTCTGTCAGTCACTTAGTAATACCAATCTAGACAAATCGTATTGAAAAGAAAATCTAGCAACAGAAACAGCACACTGCATCTCGTCTGAATAAAAAGCCAATTCCTCTACAAGTGTTCTCCATTAATAATTTGGAGGTTGTATAAGTTTGTAGCGAATCGTTTTTCTTTTTTTCCCTTTGGAAACTTTGAATTCTGCCTCCGCTGGCTCAGTGGTAAGTCCGAGGGCTTATAACGCTAAAAATCGTGGTTGGCAGGGAACACATAGCCTATTTTGTAGCTTTGGGCTTAACAACAAACAAACTAAACAAATAAACTTAAATATTTCACTTGTAACGAACCTTTTAGTATAAATAGTAGTCCCCAGTCATCTCTGGTATGATTTAAATTTACCATGACTTAATGATTAGTGTAAGATACCGTAGATACGAGTTTTCGCGTTCCGTTGTTGCATATTCGCGCTCCGCGTTTTGGGACTATAGATGCATTACGAAAGTGACGGTTGAGTCCAAATATTTTATTACAGTACCCGAGCGTTGTTGGTGGATGTTGTTGAGTAACTGTCTTCTCTGTAATCTATCAGTTTAAAATTAGGAATGGCCAGCATAGTTTGTGTGTCCTTGTTGGAAATATCCAAAACAAACAAAACGACATCAATTGGTCACTGAGCATGATCTTTGGAAATATCGATGACGTGACCATCTCATTCTTTTTCTCGTTATCAACAAGATTTCAGTGTTATTTTCATTAGAACGTTTTTATTGTTCCATAGTTAAGTAAACCGTCACCTGGAAAAATTCACTAGCACTCTCTGATATAACATCACTAACAACATCCCGTTGGAGCAACGATAAGTATACGGACTTACAATACTAAAATCCGGGGTTCGGTTTCTCACGGTGGACAGAGCGCAGATAGCCTATGAGTTAAAAATCAGGAACAACAACAACAAGATTAACATTTTTCCAGCCCCGTTTATCCCAAACTTACATTTATTTATTACCTTAAACTTTCTTCACAAAGTTTTCAATGGAAACCTTGTTTATTTCCTTGCTGCATTCGATTTTCTGTACTAAGCACCAGGCAGACAATGTCTACCGTTTAATATTTCGTGATTAAACGCGAATGAAGAGACTAATTACAGTCACTAAAGAAGTAGTAGTTGGAACACTATTTTCTATATCAATCTGCATTGCACTCAAAGAGCGGGAAAAAGATTGTCATCCTCATTGGCTACATTTACTTATATAGCACACGCTCATAAATCATCTACATTTAAACCTATCAAGTAAAAGAGGGAAGACTGTTCTCGAATTTGCTTTACTTCTGTGCCGCCAGCCTGACAAGCGCCTGCGCGTAAGTCTAGACCCTGGAATTTATTACAACAAATCGCTGACTGCAACTCAGCAAGCGACAAGCATTAGCACATTGAAATTTGATACAATGCCTCTAT